CTTCCTGTAGCTACTATGTAGGAATAGGTGATTCTGCAGCAAACATTATTAGGAAAAAATACTCCAGGCTAGCAAAAATAAATAAAAAATAAGGACATGTGTTATCTTCGAAGTGAACCCAAATACCTACCGGGAGAAGGTGAGTAGAGTCATTAGAATTATTTGTTCATCATTATAATTTATGAGGAGGTACATCAATGTATGTCTATATATTTAGGCCCCGTGGTTTTAGTGCTTGAAAACAGCTGCAAAATTCAGCTGACTTTTACAAGAGACCCTGGAAAAGAGCAGCCCCTGGCAGTAGAACGAGCTGTTTCTAAAAGAAGTTCAAAGAAACAGTCATTAAGGAAAATGTCAGTTCTAAATTTATTTTCCCCATTTCTTTCCTCTCTGTCATCTGCTATGAATTGGTCCCCAATGGCTTTGCCATTTGAATTTAATCTGGACACAGATGTGAACAAGTCTTTCAGAACTCTGCTTTGGCAAGAACTTCTGCCCATTCGGGGTTGTGTAAGAAAAACTATGTTATTCCAGGATCTATGTGGCTTTTTATCAAGATGAGTGTTTTCTCTACAAAAAGATTTGCAGCACATGAAAAAATAAATTCAGACAAATATGATGGCTTATATATATGTCTGAAGTTAGTTGCTAGAGTGGAAAAACACTGGAGAAGGCATGTGTCTTTAATCCAAAAATATCAGAAGGGAGAAGTCACCACTTGAGGTTATGCTGGTCTCAAGAAATCTCAGTTCATGCTGTTTAATTACATGGACTTTTAGATAATGATATCTAGTCTAGGATATCTAATCTAATGATATCTAGGATAATTTCTCCCATTCAGTACGACTTAAAGTCCTCCTCTAATTATTAAACACCCTCAGAAACGCAGTTCTTAGTCCATCTTTGTCTCTAATGAGGGCAATATGTTATTTTTCTGACAGGCTTTTTGCACATCTGCAGGACCACGTAAACTTTTGAATCTTGCTTTATTCAGCATGATTTCCTCAGATTGGATCTGTTTTCTCGAGGACTTCATGCAACTCAGTTTTTCTGCAGGGCACCAGGGGAGGTAGAGAATGGCTGTCAGTGCAAAAGGCAGCAGTCAAATGCTTTTTGCTGTTCCTGATCCTGCAGTTATATAGATTGCAAGAGGAAACTCCAGAACTTTTATCATTAACAACGTAAGAGAGACATCACAATGCCTAATTAAATTTATTCCTCTATTTATTCAGGCCTCTGAACACAGACATACTTTTACATATCTCTACATCAATATGTATTGATAAACACATTTGACTGTCATATGGCATCTAAATTCATGTTCATCCAAGCACTGCAGAAAGTTAGCTCATCAGGGCCTCAGCTGTCCTATACTGAGAAATATTTTTACAATTCCCAAGGAACCTTAAACAACAACCCAGAGTAGAACAACTACAAAACTCAAGACCCCCTTTGTTTTGGAATGTTCACAACTAAAAGTTCATCCAAATGTTCTCAGTGTTTGCAATCTACCACATTAAAACTGTGCCTAAGTTTAAATCTCTTCCATTCCTGTTTAGAATTTGCATTTTAGAGAAAGGTAACAAAGTGAGACATTAAGCAATCATAACAAATAACTACATGTCTAATTTTAGGTGACATCAATCTCACTCTTAGTCATATACCTTCTTATGTTTGCTGTGATTTACATAAGTGTCAGTCATAAGGCTGGGTATTTATCCCTCACATCAACAAAGCAGATGCCACAGATTCATTTATTACTCACAAGATAAAGTTCCCGGGGGATTCATATCATATGTATTCTTCCAATCAAACAGACAAAAAAAGTCACTGAACAGGACAGGACTGAATTAAAATCCAGAAGTTTCAGGGGTTTATTTCAGACTGCTATAAAGATTGATGTCTCAAGGATGAAGGACCACCGCCTCCCTAAGGTCTTGCTTTATGGTGAACTTGCCACCGGCTGCCGCATGAGAGGAGCCCTGAAGAGAAGATACAAGGACTCCCTGAAACAACATCTCAGCCCTGGCCATATTGATCAACATAACTGGTCTACTCTGGCCTTCAATCGGGAGGTCTGGAGACACACCATCTATAACGCTGCTGATGCCTTTGAGAACGCACGCAGGATCACCCTTGAGGAGAAAAGACAATGCAGAAAGAACCGTGTCTTGCAGAATTTACCATCTAAGGAGTCTTTCTGCTGTGCCTTTTGCGACCGGACGTGCCTGTCTCGTATTGGCCTTTTTACCCACCAGTGTACTTGTAGCAAACTTGGGTAGAGCCCTTCCCAAATCTTCGTTTGCGAAGCCCGACCATGAATGAATGAATGAAATGAAAGATTGATGTCACCCAGCAAGCAGAGCTTCCTCACAGAACTAAAAGAGTTTAATACAGGGTTTAGGGCTTGTACCTAAACATTTTGCAGTTCTAGTAAGCTTGAATAGCAAAGCACAAAGCTAAAGTACAGTAACAGTTTAATGGGAACAGTCTGTTAAGATGCAAAAATGTTTTGCAAATGTTTTCCTCAGCCCCTCATGCATTTCTAATGCAATAAGCTGAAAAGGGCTGATAATAATGAAACTGCATTAAATGTGCTATAAGTCAAATACCTTTCAGAAATTCTAATAAACTCTTTTCATAATGTATTAGCGTATTCTGCCCTGTGGATCTCATTTTTACCTATTAGAGAACTTATCTAAGATCAGACAAAAGAACTTTTCTGTTCTACTGGCATGCTGAGTGGAATTCATTACTAAACACTGTGCTAGGTTAATCTGATTTGGGAAAAAAATCATTAAAGATGCAGGAGATGCTTTTATAAAGATAACTGAAATTAGATAACTGAAAGAAAATGCCCGCCAGAAGAAAACAGACACTCATGAATTTTTCTTTTCTTTTTCACCAAATTTCTTCTTTCAGACTCAAAAGGCAGTGAAGATTTGGTTGACTGAACTGTCCAGTTGACAGCCTTGAATTATGTAGTGTGCAATGCCTGATACATTTCTTTACCTTCCTTAAGAAAATCAAAAAGTTTTGTGGAGCTCTTTTCAGAAAAGACCTTTTAAATTCCTGGTAAGGATTCCCAGACAGAAGAATGAATGTGACACTTCATAAAAAAGATTTGTGTCTGTAGTCCAAATGCTCAAGTATCCTGCTTGTACACACGTAGGGCCCCAGACCTTATTGAGACTAGCTAAACTACACAGCTCCCAGTGCTGCAATGACTACTCAGACCTTCAGTTTGTGAAATATTACGGGACACTTATTCCAAGATAGATTCCCTATTCACCGAAATTGGATCTTTTACTCTTCCCCCATCCCTGCTAACTTCACTATCAACCTAAATTATGGTGTTTATTTAAAGAGTGGGCAAGCTAAATCCAAAATCAGCTACCCACATTCAGACTGACCATATCCACACATTTCCAGGCCTGTCCTTTCATGGTACTTTGAAAGGTTTTCCCAATGGAAAAGAAGGCTGGATTTCCCTTAATGTTTTGGGACCAAATCTTTCAAAAACCCGAGCAAGGAAATGACATCTAAGGTCTATCTTAGCAGCAGTGTTTAAGTCTCATTGCTGCTGTCACCACACTTGTCCAGAAATCTGGGCTGCAGAGGTGTAGTAAAACGATTCTTTCTTGTCATACTGCTGTGCAGACCTTAAGGCTGGGGAGATGGACTGTTTGAGAGAAGTAGTACTGCTCACACAACAGGACAAAAGAAAACAGCCTCAGGTTGCACAAGGTGACTTTTAGGTTGGTTATAAGGAAAACCCTTCACTGAAAGGTAGGTCAATCATTGGAATAGGCTGCCCAGGGCAGTGGTGGAGTCACCATTCCTGAGGGCATTTAAAAGTTGTGTAAATGTGCCACTAAGGGACATGGTTTAGTGGTGGCCTTGGCAGTGCTAGGATGGGGCCTCAGGAGACTCTGCTCAGGTGTCTCTTGCCCTTTCATGGGGCACAGACAAGGCAGCAGATGGACATCAGTGTGGCTTGGGCTGGACACTTTGTCAGGAGAGCCCATGGGAGCTTGCTCCTGCTGCTGGCTTTGTACTTGTGGTGGTAATGCCCAGAACTGACTGAGCAGGGGAGTGGGGATGAAGGCTGGGGCTTGTCGGCCAACTGA